TTCCTTCTTTCCTTCTTTCCTTCTTTCCTTCTTTCCTTCTTTCCTTCCTTCCTTCCTTCCTTCCTTCCTTCCTTCCTTCCTTCCTCCCTCCCTCCCTCCCTCCCTCCCTCCCTCCCTCCTTCTCTCTCACTCTCCTTCCTTCCCTTTTCAAGATTTTGTATTTCTTTGCTCAGGCTTTCTATTTTTCAAAGGTTTCAAACAAATTTTCATAATACCTGATTGAAACACTTTTATCATCCGTGTTTTAAAATATTTATCAGATAATTCTAATACATTTTTCACCTGGGTGTTGGTATCTACTGATAGTATTTTTTTAAAATTCATTTTGAGATCTTCTCTAGTCCTTTGTATGATGAGTGATTTCTACTGAAACCTGAACATTTTCATGTTATTTTATGAGACTCTGAATCTTGTTTAAACTTTCCTTTCTTGTTTTAGCTGGCTTGCTCTGACTGTGTCCCAGGAGAAGGAAGGGTGATGCATCAGTACTTCCAGAAGTAGAAGTCCAGATCCTCACACAGTGAGGATGGGGTCTCTTCATTATTGCAGGGTGGGATTGGGAGTTTTTAATACCCCATGTGATCTTCACTGATAACTACAGGGGGCATGCCCTTGTCACCACTTTGTGGTGATAAAAGTCTTGCCTGTCTGCTAGGCCTCCTATGACATCATCCCCAGTGTAGAAGAGGGGAAGCAGTTTGTTTCTGCTAGGTGGGGGTGAAAGACGTTTAACCATTGGAGCCACCCAGATGCCCCTTCTGCCCAGTTTTTAACTGGATTGTGTTTTTTGATATTGAGTGGTATGAGTTCTAATGTGAATGTTGGTATACTTGATTTGTCCAGAAGTCCCTTACACTATCCAGTTTTAAAATTATTTTTTCTCTTTGCTGTTCAGTTTGGGTTATTTTCACTATCCTGACTTCCATATCACTGATCCATTTTTCTGTATCATCTGATCTGCTGTTTATTCCCTCTGGTATATTTATCGTTTCTGTTATTGCAATCTTCAGCTCTGGTTGGTGCTTTCTTATATTTTCTCTCTTTGTTGAAATTCTCACTGTGTTCATTCATTCTTCTCCTGAGTTTGGTAAGCATTTTTATGACTATTACTATGAACTCTTTATCAGGTAGATTGCTTACTCCATTTCATTAAGTTCTTTTACCAAGATTTTGTCTTGTTCTTTCACTTAGAACATATTCCTCTCTCTCTTCATTTGCCTAACTGTCCGTGTTTGTTACTAAGTATTAAATAGTTGAGCTCCTTTTCCTGGTCTTGAAGGAGTGGCCTTACGTAGGTGTTGTCTTGTGGAGCCCAGAAGTGCATATCCTCCTGGTCACCAGAACCAGGTGTTCCAGGAGTATCCCCTGAGTAGGCTATGTGCACCCTACTGTTGTGGTGGGGACATGACTGTTGTGGGCATGTGGTAGGTGGGAGTGGCCCCTGGCCCAACTGGCCGGGATGCCTGGCTCTGACTGCTGCAGGTGCACGGTGGGTGGGGTTATTGTCTTGTCAGCTGCAAGGCCTGACCAAGGCACATGTTGTTTGATGCCCTTTATGGGGCATGCCCTCTGACATTAGCAGTCTAGATGGAGGATTCCAAAATGGCATTCACCAATGCCAGGATCAGCATGGCAGAACAAGATAGTAAAAATGGCTGCTTCCAGTGTCTAAGTTCCTGGGGGAAGAGAGGCTCAGCTCTCTCCTGTTCTTGCACTGGTTTCCATGTCAAGTGAGTCAGCACCTGAGCCTTTTAAGAGTGGGTTTTTCTGTTACTATGGTTCCATAGTTTTCCTGGACATATTCTTTATCAGTTTTTAGAGGTTAGGTATTCATATTTCCTGTGCAGAATCTAAGGGTTAAGTTGCATGATATGGAGCTCACATCTTTCACTCCTCAGGATAAAGCTCTATACCTTTGAGATCCCTCCTAAACATGGAGTGCTGTGCCTGGGGTGTGGTTTTATCCCTTAGCAAGACTGTATCTCTGCCTCTTCTACCCATTTTGTTGATGTTGCTTATTGCCGGGGCTCTGTTCATCCAATTTCTTGATCCCCTTCAGAGGGAATTATTCCATATGCAGTTGTAGATTTGTTATGTCCATAGGAGGGATGAGATCAGCATCTTCCTAGGCCATCTTGAATTCTCCCCAGAATCCTATTTTTTGGAATTCTTAATCTCAGGAAACAAACTGAGGGTTGCTGGAATGGTGGGGGGTGGGAGGGATGGGGTGGCTGGGTGATAGACACTGGGGAGGGTTATGTGC